ATATATATATAGATAGATAGATAGATAGATAGATAGATAGATAGATAGATAGATAGATAGATAGATAGATAGATAGATAGATAGATAGAGATATATATATATATATATATATATATATATGCAATTAATATTCAACTATTTATTAATGTTTGCATTCAGTCAATGTACTAATATTTTCAAGATTTAATTCAATAACCAATCCATGCTTCGTCATTCATTTCTTTTCTCATCTGTTCACTCCCTTCTTCATCTTTTTATTAAAACAGTCAAGCAGGGGTGGGGTTAGGGAGGGAGTTGGAGGAGGGGTCCTCTCACCTGTAAAGGACAGACGCATCAGACTCGTATTTAATACTTCCATAGTCGTTTTTACGAAAAGAGTGGATGACACAGCTAAACTTTTCTTCGTCTCCAATATAAACGGGGTCCATTATTTTGATTGCCAAGTAAGCTCTGTAGGATTTATTGTCCACTTTCCTTTCGGAACAATCCTCTTTTGCTTTCTGGGAAAAGAAAGAAAAAAAAAAGTTTTGAGAAATTTGGGTCTGAAGGTCTCACAACACCATCACCACTACCACGGCCACCACTTTTTAGCATTAGAGATGTGGTGTGTGTGTGGGGGGGGGGGTCTAGTGGTTAGGCTCTCGGGCTTGCAACCGTTAAGTCGTGAGTTCGAATCCTGTCAGGGGTCCGACGTTGTGTCCTTAGGAAAAGCACTTTACACGAATTTGCCTCACTTCACCCAGGCGGGAATGGGTACCCAGCAATAGACAGCTAAAGATCTTGTTAGTTGTTAGTATTTGAGGGCTTCTCGGGAAGCTGAGAATATTAATTCTGAGTATTCCATGGTCTACATGGGTAAAAGTTTAGTGTAAAGCGCATAGGGCTTGTTGTTGAGCAGGGGTACGCGGTATACAAATGCTTTTTTTTAAAAACATTTTTTTACTATTATTATTATTATTATTATTATTATTATTATTATTATTATTATTATTATTATTATTATCATCATCATTATTATTATTATTATTATTATTATTATTATTATTATTATTATTATTATTATTATTATTATTATCATTATTATTATTACTATTATTGCATATTCAGTGGCGTCCATTAAATATATGTCCATTCCACCAATGTTGGAGCACCTAAATACACGCGCGAACACATTTTTACATTTCATTGTTTTCATACAATTTTGCCAAGCCTGATTTTTTTAGGTCAGTTTTGAATGACCATGTTACTGCGAGCACCTCTTAAATTAGATGAAATATTAATGTGTCTGATGATGCATATTTCATTTAGCTTTAATTTGGCATACTGCCTGAGTGGGTTAAAGTGCAAGGCTTTAACACAATGATTGGGTGATTACATTTTCAAGCTTCTTTTGGATGCTACTATACATTGAAACACCCGTGCCATCATCTCTTATTGGTCCATAGCTAACCTCTATAATATAATACAATATTCTATACATATTATGTATATTATTATTTCATAGAAGCTGTTCCCCTGTCCACCATCAGGGGACATGCTGGGTGAGTATAGAGTCCGATCATAAATAATAATAATAATAATAATAATAATAATAATAATAATAATAATAATAATAATAATAATAATAACAACAACAACAACAAAAATAATAATAATAATAATAATAACAACAACAACAATAATAATACTAATAGATAGATAGATAGATAGATAGATAGATAGATAGATAGATAGATAGATAGATAGATAGATAGATAGATAGATAGATAGATAGATAGATAGCATGCATTTGTATAGCACCGATCCCCGCTCAACAGCAAGCCCTATGCGCTTGACAATCTATAATACTATTACCTCAGCAGCAGACCTGAGAGCATTCTGAAACAACCTCAACTTCCCGGGAAGCATATAGTGCAAGCAGCCATTAATAAGAGCTAAAACACTAACATACTTACACGATCTTTCGCTGTCTATGGCCGGGTACCCATTCCCACCTAGGTGACGTGAGGAAAATTCGAGTAAAGTGCCTTTCCCAAGGACCCAACGTCGGCCCCCGAACCCGCAAACCTCACGATTACGAGTCCGGTAGCCTAAACTTGAAAGGCTTTACCGTAAATATTGTTCACACACTTGGTTTGATACTTTGTAACTTTTTCCGATGCTTCAACAACAAACATGCTCATTCTTTTCTCAGTGAAAAACAAAGACAAACAGACTCGAAAATAAAAACAAACAGATAATGAAACAAAGACAAGCAGACATGGAAACAAAGACAAACAGACATGGAAAGATAGACAAACAGACATGGAAAGATAGACAAACAGGCATGGAAAGATAGACAAACAGACATTGAAAGATAGACAAACAGACATGGAAACAAAGACAAACAGACATGGAAAGATAGACAAACAGACATGGCAAGATAGACAAACAGACATTGAAAGATAGACAAACAGACATGGAAACAAAGACAAACAGACATGGAAAGATAGACAAACAGACATGGAAAGATAGACAAACAGACATGGAAACAAAGACAAACAGACATGGAAAGATAGACAAACAGACATGGAAACAAAGACAAACAGACATGGAAAGATAGACAACAGACATGGAAACAAAGACAAACAGACATGGAAAGATAGAGAAACAGACATGGAAATAAAGACAAACAGACAAGGAAACAATAACAAACAGAAGATAAGAAAAGACAGACAACAGACAAGAAAACAAAGACAAACAGACCCGGGAAAACAAAACCCAGGGAAGGACACAAATACAGGCATGAAAAAAAAGACAGATAGAGAAAGAAACAAATACAAACAGACATGAAAAAAGACAGACAGAGAAGGTAACAAATACAAAGAGACATGAAAAAAACGACAGACAGAGAAGGGAACAAAGATAAACAGACAAGGAAACAAAGAAAGAAGCGTGTCACCATGAAGCAATGCGTGGCCTCCACTCCCTCAGCCTGGTTTCCGGTGTAGGTGTTTGTCCACGACACTCGCCTGTAGGCCACCAGCTCACCGTCCTTATCTGAACAAACAAACACAACAGGAGTTTAATCTACTTTGTTACAGTTTAGTTTTAGTTAATAATAATAATGATAATAATAATAATAATAAAAATAATAATAATAATAATAATGATAATAATAATAATAATAATAATAATAATAATAATGATGATGATGATGATGATGATGATGATGATGATGATGATGATGATGATGATGATGATGATGATGATGATGATGATTATGATGATGATGATGATGATGATAATACATTAATAATCTTACTTCTACTGGAGCTAAGGCCAAATTTT